ATGCATACATCGTTGCTAGAGTAAAACTTCATATTTAAAACCATTTGTTAAATTTTAGAATTTAAATGCCAAACAAATTTTACAATCACCTATGAAAAGGGCCTTCAACTATACAGTAATGTGATTTTGAATAGCTCAGGACTGCTCTGCAGCCATCAAAAAAAAAAATCAAGAGAGACATTGAAATATAGTATTTCAAAAAACAAGGGATGGTTCAACATTTGGAAAAAAATTGACACAATCATATTAAGAACAAAAACAAAACTTATTAACTCTTAAAAAAACTAAAAAGTCATTTTTAACGTGATAAAATGTATGTACTTAAAATCAAAAAGTAGCATTACTTGCAAAGGAGAAGCACTAGAAATTTTCCCAAAAAATATAGGAATAAAGCAAGGATGCTACTTATCTTTCCTACTATTTGACATAGTTCTAGAAATGCTTACAACATCAGTAACGTAAGAGAAAGTAATTAAAGACAATCACTAGCAAAGAGGAGACAAAATTATCCCTATCAAAAGAGGATTTATTTAGAATACACCATAGAATCAGCAAAAAAAATCCCTGACAGTGGCCTCAGTAAGTAGTACAATACAAAATAAACTCACAAAATCAAAAAGCAATTCTATACAGCAATAACAAAAACAAGGAGTAAATGATAGAAAAATAGCATTCAAAAATGCAGAAAATATCTAAGTCCATTTGCTGACACTAAAAAGATATATATAAAAGACTTTCTTACAGAAATAATAGAAGAAAATAAATGGATATTTGTTTGTTGCTTGTGGTTGGGCTACATCAATACTGTACAAATAATGAAACTACTTGAATCAATTTATAAATTCAGTGCTACTGACACTATTTCATTTCTCTCTGTATCCCCAGACAAGCACGATGTCTGACACCAAACAGATGCTTAATAAATGCTTGTTATCTCCCAAGGGAAAAATAAATAAATAAATTCAGTGCTGGATCAACTGGACTGAAGTTAGGTCCTGATTAGTACAAATAATAAATCCCCTGAAATACTCACATGTTCAAATTCGTATTATTTGAAGTTATAATTATGTAAAACAAGGTCACTGGTTCCAGACCAATGGAAAGATGAAGTGTAAATTTGAATAATATAACAAGGGATTCATTATTTCTACTATCTAGACTTAATTTTAAAACCTAGGTGTTGTAAAGAGCTATGCAAAATAATAACAAAATTATCCTAGAAGAAGAAATATTTCTCTCTTTGTCCAATTCCTCTGCTTCTATAATCCAAAACAAACTCCTCTTTTTGGCAGTAAAGTGTTTCACAGGCTGATGTCCATCTACCTTTTCAGGTACATTATACTTTATTTCGCCTTAACCTGCTCTACAATCTAGTCAAACTGGTGACTGTGCCTTTGCACGGTCTATGCTGGGAAAGCACAACCTCCTCACATCTGACTCTTTAAATTCCTAGTTTCCTTCATTGCTCAGTTTGCTTTTATTTTGTGTTTATGTATATATTACACACTTTCTCCCTTAATAAACTGCAAGTTCCTTAAGGGTCAGTGCCTAACACAGTGTATGGCACAGAGAAGAAGACTTACATTCTTATAAATTTAACTCAGTTCTCTATATAGTTTAGAAATGCAGACTTTATCTGAGATACTGGCTGTAAAAATTGTTTCCCAACTTTCCGCTTCTTTTCTGATCTCGGTTGCATTGGTTTTCTATGTGTAAAACCTTTTTAATTTAATGTAATCAAAATTATACATATAATGTTCTCTATCTCCTGATAAATTCTTCCCCTCTCCATAGGTTTGACAGATAAACTATTCCTTGCTCTACTAATTTGCATATTATGGCATCACCCTTTATGTCTAACCCATGTACCCATTTTGACCTTACCTATACAGGGTAAGATGCTGGTCTATGCCTAGTTTCTGCCATACTAATTTCCAGTTTTCCCAGCAGTTTCTGTTAAATAATGAATTCTTATCACAGAAGCTAGAGTCTTTGGGTTTATCAAACAGTAGATTACTGTAGTCGTTGACTACTGTGTCTTATGTACCTAACTTATTCCACTGATCCTCCTTCTATTTCTTAGCCAATACCAAATAGCTTTGATGATTGCTGCTTTATAACACAGTTTTAGATCTGGTACAGATATGCCACCTTCCTTTGCATTTCATTTCATTAATTCCCTCTATATTCTTGACCTTTTGTTCTTCAGGATGAATTGAACTTTTTTTAAATACTCAATGACTTGTGACTAAAAAAAAGGAACTTCCTCAGTGATTAGAGCTTGTATGTATGCTATATATTTCTATTACAAGCACTGTAAAAAAATAAACTTAAGATTTGAACCCAAATCTCCTGACTCAAAGTCCAGTACTCTTTCTACCACCTCCTACTATCTTTCTTTTTTACTTCTAATAGACCGACTTTACATCTCCTAAACAATCTCAACTCCAGTTGGGCCATCTTTAAAGTAGTACCCTGACACTAACTAATGCAAATATTATTACAGATCTTGTGATCACTAGAACTGTTCTAGTTCTTAAATATTGAGTTCTAAGTCTCTCTTCTTTGACCATAATCTCTTCTCCTTTCATCTCTTTCACATCTTCATTTCTTCTAACCTGTTCTTTTTCACGACTCAGTTCCTCAACTGCTACCTATTTTCTCAATCTATTAGGCCCCCTTTCCAGATTAGTTTGTCTTCCTAGCAAGTCTGCACCCCATCAATCCATTTCAATCATTTTCCTCTCAGCATCCTAGAATTACTGTATTTCTCCTTTCTCCATTTCTAAGATATTTAGTGATACCGAGGAGTCACGAAATGCAACTCAGTGGCTCTAGAACAAATTCATTCTACCTAATGTTCGTTAATTCCCAAGGTTCCTATTCTTTTAAAAAAAATTATAAAAGGTAGATCAAAGAAAATGAAGACTAAGGTCTTTGACCTGCCTTACTTCTATAATTTTTTTTAAAAGAATAGGTTCCTCAGGAACTAATCAGATTGATGTAGAAATGTTTTCAATATCAGATATTTCCTCCTGATTCATATCAATCAATTCATATCAATGATCAATTTAATGCCTTAACAGTTCATAGTATAGTACAGATTTAGAGCTGGAAGACACCCTAAGAAGCCATCTAATCCAACCCCCTCATTTTACAGATGAGGAAACTGAGACCTAGAAAAGTTAAGTGATTTGCCCAAAGTTACAAAGTCAATAAAAGGAACGAATGAGATCTGGATATAATTAACACTGAGCCATTAGTTATTTTCATATATTAGTTATATATAAAGTGAAGCAGCTCAATGTTCCAAAAGGCTTTTAAATTATGGAATTACTATAATCTCAAATCACTGGGTTGATCTCTAGGTGACAGCTTTTTTGCCTGGTAAACAGAATGTAAAAGGATACTTGGAAAAAAATTTTGATAAGATTCATTAATTAGGTATCAACATGTAATGGTGCTATGCAAAAGAATATTTTCATTTCCAACTTGAATAAGTAAAACCATACACTATTCATTCGCAAAAGCAAAAGGTCACTGTACCTTCTTTTCCAGATTTGTTTTTAATAATTAAACTTTCTTTTTACTGTGAACTTGCAAAGAACAAGAAAGAGGATGACCTAAGTGGTATAAAACTCAAAACAGAAATAGATACTTGCCAGCATACTGACTTAGAAAAACTAGCAGTATCTGTGTTTTATTTTATTTTTGATTTTGTTAAATATTTCCCAATTATATTTTAATCTGGTTCCAGCCTCACTAGGGAGTTTTGCCCCTATGAGTTTGATACCTCTAGTCTAAGACATTGATATATAACAGAACTTTGAATTTTCTGGGCTTCTGTTTTATTTTACCATAGAATCCAATATTAAATTATTTTCAGAGATTACTCTTAATTATTCATCCTTTCTCTTCCAAATATTTTATTGTAAAAACTGTATTAAAATGTTTTATTCATTTTAAAGCATATCACCATCACTTTCCAAGGCTCTTTTTCTCCTGGCCCACCCCCCACAACCAACAGACTTGTACCTTGTGACAAACTACCTCCTTTATAAGGAAATTCCTAGAAGTCAAGTACATTAGTGATGCGATGAGGCAAAGACAACCAAGGCTAATGCCTAGATGCTAAAAATTGGAGAGGAAGGATATTTCCTGGGGAGGGAGATTTTCTTCTCCCAGTAAGCTAAAGACGACTTTGGAAGATATGCAACTTTTCCCCTTATAAAAATTAACTTATACTTATTCTACCTAGGCAGCACCAGGTCAACTCAAACTACATTGACTTCTGGACAATAGAAACAATTCTCTCACTCCAAAGAAGTCTAGTCTCTTTTGTCAGTGAAGTTTCTGTGTGCCCCACTAAGAACTTCTCTCTTTGGTAAGAATAAGGTCCACCGAAGTACACCTTATTTCCAGAGCAATCCAGCCTCTGTTCCCAGAGAGAATGGATCCTGAAGTGATCCTTCTTTATGGGAAGCTCATAGTCAGTGGCACATTTCATATTTCCCAGAACAATTTTGAAGTCCCTGACTCTTAGACTTCGCCCTCTGCTTCCATTAGTCCCTATCCCAGACTGTTCCTTCTGTTGCTGTATGTACCTCCAAGAACAGGAAATAAGTAAATGATTTTGCCCCAGATGAAAAATTCTTGGTTACACTGGTATATTTTTGCATTAAATTGAATTGATAATCATATAAGCCATCTTATATAATCTTCAAAATTCTTCACAGAAAAAATGTTTTAAAATAGTATATTTTATTTACTTTTGAGAAAAACTTCAGATGAAAACTTACTTTAAATTTAATCTCCCTAGTCTTTTTTCCATCCATACAAATGTAAAATACAATCTGGACTAAAAACGATACTTCACTATTTTTGAAAGTTAAAATAAATGTCTCAGAATCTGAGAAACTTAAAAGGCAGAAAGTATAACAAGCCTAGTACTTCCTTCCCTCCCTCCACTACCACACACACATTTGTTAAATCAACTATACCTTTACTGGCTCTGTTGAAGGTGCATTTTCTGTTTTCTGACTTATAGTGACAGGCCCATTTTCAGGACTGAAAAATAAAAACCATGAAGTTTTTTTAAAAATTTAAATCAATACAACATTCAATGCATATTCATTATAATTTAATTTGAATAGCAACAAGTATTTTGCCTATATATCTCTATGATTCTTTTAACACATATCCTATCAAGAAAGCAGTAATTTGAATATCAACCTCACAAACAAATTCAAAAGTATTTATCAGCTTCAACCATTTTAACTAGTCCATACTATATTTTACTTATCACCAATATCATAGCAATGATATAATAGATGTGGGAAAGTAGCAGTTGTTAAATATCCGGTATTTCGTTTTAATTAAAATATGTATTTGTCTACAAATGATCAATTTTACATTTTAATTCTGGGATCCACGATGAGTGGTAAGCTGACTAATGAAGATTGCACTTAAATACCTTAAACATCCTTGACCTAGTATAATAAATTTTCTTTATGTAAAAAATTGTTATTGGGTCACCAGTATAAAAAAGTTTCTTTTTCTAATTACAGTTTTATTTGTTCTTAATTTTCATTTACTTTTTATTCTTAACAAATAAAATGAGCATATCTCTGTGCATAGAAAAACAGAAAGATTATAAATGAAACTGTAAATCACTATTATGTAATATTTTTTTTCTTTGAAATATAAACTAAATCCAATCTTTCCCTACCACCCTCCATGTCTTGGTTCTTTCTGGACTTCCTTGTGTTCTCTTCTGTGTATTTTTAAAAATATGCTTCAATGACCTTTTTTTTAACACTATACATATTTATACACTATACCACCCTCTTCCTCCTACCTCCACACTCATAATGTAAAAAACCCCTTATAACAAATATGTCGGGGCAGCTAGATGGTGCAGTGGATAGAGCTTCGGCCTTGGAGTCAGAAGGACCTGAGTTCAAATCTGGCCTCAGACGCTTTACACTTACTTGCTGTGTGACCCTGGGCAAGTCAGTTAACCCCGATTGCTTCACCCCCCCAAAAAAAATATGCCTACTTAAAAAAAAAAGTTCCTCCATTTCTCATATGTGAAAATGTATGCCTTATTCTCAATCTTGAGTCTATCACCTCTGTCAGGAAGGAGAATATTATGCTTCATCATTTCTCCTCTGGACCGTGGATGATCTTTGCACAGATCAGAGCTCTCAAGTCTTTCCACATTGTTTTCCTTTACAATGTTTCTGGTATTGTATAAACTGTACTGATTGTTTTCATGTCATTTTTCATCAGTTCATACAATTCTTCCCAGCTTTCTCTAAAATCATTCTTTTCATCATTTCTTATGGTGCAATAATATTCCATTATCTATCACCTGCAAAAAAGTTAGTTGCATTTTTTCTTTGCTTATGCTTATTATCTCAATTTCTTTTTCTTTTTGCATTGCTATGTCTAGCATTTCTAGACCTATTATCAAATAATAGTAGTGATGAACATCCTCAGTTTACACCTAATCATACTGTTAAGTCTTCTAGTCTTTCTCCATTACATATGACATTGGTACTTGATTTATAATAGAGATACCACTTTCCAGGAAAGGTCCATTTATTCATGAGCAGTTCAATGTTTTTAACAGAAATGGTTAACTGGATTTTGATTTTTTAAAAAAGCTTTTTTCAATATCTACAGATATCATCATGTGGTTTTTATAATTATTGTTATTAATATGACTGATTGTAGTTATCACTTTCCATATATAGAATGAAACTTGCATTCATACCACAAATTTAACTTGGTCACAGAGTTTAATCTTTTTTAATGTGTTGATGTAGCCTCTGATAATGTTTTCTTTAATATTTTTGCATTAATGTTTACTGGGAATACTGATCTATATATATTTTTTCTGCTTTTGCCTGTGCTTGGTTTAGATACCAAAACCTTATTTGTATCATAGAAAGAAAATAATCATCAGTGATCCAAAATATTACAGGTCCTTACCTTCTTTCTTACTTCATTGTTGTTAAAATTTGTCTAGGTCTGAAAGGAATACATTGAGGTCCCTCACTATTATAAGATTACCATCTATTTTTTTCTTCTATAATTTGACTGATTTTTCATTTTGGTATTTAGATGCTATGCTATTCAACGCCTATATGTTAAGTATTAACATTACTTTGCTATCTATTATTTATTTAAACATAATGCTGTTTCCCTACTTATCTCTTTTTAACTCTTGCTTTGTCTGAAATCACAGCTGCTACCCTTGCTTTTCTTGTTATTGATGGATTTTGCTTTCAACTGTAAACCTTCCATTTTAGAGGTGATTTTATTCCACTGACATTTAGTTATGATTATTAATCCTCTATTTCCTTTGATCCTGTCCTTCTGCATTTTTCCTTTATTCATTCCCAATCATCTCTCTTTACAAGAGGATTTTGCTTAATACTACTGATCTATAAGTGAAGTAACATCTTACTCTCTGCTGATCTTCTCCTACCTCCAATCCCCCTAAAAATAGGTTTTTATTCTCTCTTCCTTCCTTTTTTCTTCCTTTCTTTCCCTTTTATTTTCTACTTCCCAATCTACTCTTATTATGCTAGAATTTTGTTTATAACTGTTCCTTTCCTCTTACTGTTCTCTATTTTAAACCCTCCCCCAATCCCCATCTATTTCCTACTGAGTTTAATTTCTACACCAAACTCTGTATGTGAATACACACATATAATTGTTTGAGTTAAACCTTCTTTTGCTTCATTTCTCCCAGATATTACTAAAGTCCATGTGGCCAGACATTTTAATTGGACTTATTTTCTAGTACTCTTTTCTTCTGCGATGACTTCTTGAATTCTCAGTCCATAATATTTCTTCACTGAGTTTAGCCCGTTCTTCAGTTTAATCTTATCTCCAGCCTCAAGTGTTTGGATTAGGCCTCTGTGTTTGAATCAGAAGTTATTTTCTCCCATATTCCTAGATGGTATAGGCAGGCCGTACTTGGTCATGGATATGATGACTAAGAATAGTTCTTGATTTTCACAAAAATGCACAGGTTTTGGCTATCTCCTAGTGGCTAGTCTTATATTTTGGCTTTGTCCTCTTCTATGCCCACTCCCAAAACCAGAGTTAGTTTTATCTCTAGCTATAAGTTTGACAGGAATCAACCAGATATTACTGGTTATGTCGGTAGCAGATATTCTGCAAAGCCCCAAAGCACCTTTGCTTCCCAGGTGCTTTCCTAAGTCCTGGAAGAGGCATTTGGTTCTTTTTCCTGCTCTGGATCCATGGGTTGCTGTTTGCACACACAGTCTTCTACCGATTCTGGCTTGTCTCTGTTTAGAGATTCCAAAAGATTATGGCATTCTCTTTTTGCACTCCTAGACTGTACAGAAGAGCTTACAGCTTTTTCTCTTCGGTTTTATTGTTCAGTTGCCTTTTTAGAGCTTTACTGGGGTGTCTATCAGGGATCTGGGATATTCCAAGTCCTAAGACACACAATCTTCCCACTATCCTCTCAAGTACATAAGATTTCAATCTAAAACTCTTGTCCAATCCCTTCATTTTCTGTACATCCCTTGCATGCATTGAAATAACTTAGTAGATGTGATTACTAGGTCACTGTCAGTAATTAGGGAGGAAAAGGATTAGGGGAGGGAGATAAAGGAATATGGAACTTGCAAGTGAACCTGACTTTGTTTCCTGGCAAAATTATATAACATATTATTAAAAGAATACTTAATGAACAACTGCAAAAAGGAAGTAGTGATCACAACAAGCAAGCATAGCTTCATCAAGAACAGGTCATGCTAGACTAATTTTTATTTTCCTAACACCGTAACTAGACTTGTAGATCAGGAAAATAATATAGTTTTTACCTAGAATTCAGCAAAGAAAGTGACCAACTCATTCATGCTTTTCTTTTGGAAAATATGGAGAGATTAGCTATAATTAGATGCATTTACAAGTCCTAGAAAGCCAAAAACAGACATTAAGGCTCATATCTATATTTGTAATGAATAAGTAAAGGAAAGCCAAATGTGTTCTGAACCACATCCTTAAGTTTTGTAGGTGTGTATATAAGAGTTTACAGAAAAGATAAATACTCTAAAGGGGTTAGAAAACTCTCAAGATTAAAATTCTGATAAATGCTTATCAACTTATGCCACAAACTATTCTAATGGAGGATGTGAAAATGTATGTAAAAAGTGTGGTTTCATAAATAATTAATTGACCAACTTAGGTCTTAAAAAGATGTGTGTCATGGAAATAGAAAAGTTAGTGTTTTCAATGACAGTACAGACACATGACTCTCAAGTTCAAGACCACATTCCAGAATCATAACTGATGCTGTCAAAGCTCATCTTCTATCATTTAAAAAGCCAGGAAATTAATGCAACCAAGATTAGGAAGGAAGCAGAAAACTGAGAAAAGATTTTTTACAACCAGTATCTCTGACAAATGCCTCATTTCTAAAATATATAAAGAACTGAGTCAAATTTATAAGAACACAAGTCATTCTCCAACTGATAAACAGCCAAAGGATATGAACAGACAGTTTTCAGAGGAAGAAATTAAAGCTACCTATAGTCATATCCAAAAAAAATGCTCTAAATCACTTTTTTTGTTTGTTTTGGCTAGGCAATAGGGTTAAGTGACTTGCCCAGGGTCACACAGCTAGTAAATGTTATGTGTCTGAGGCCGGATTTGAACTCAGGTCCTCTTGAATCCATGCCTGGTGCTCTATCCACTGTGCCACCTAGCTGCCCCCTCTAAATTTATTGGTTAGAGAAATGCAAATCAAAACACCCCTGAAGTACCATATCACACCTATCCTATTGTATAATACCTATTGGCTAACATGACAGAACAGGAAAATGATAAAAGCTAGAGATGTGGGAAAATTGGAACACTAATTCATTGTTGGTGGAGTTGTGAACTAATCCCACTATTCTGGAAAGCATCCTTATATTTTTCACCTCATTTGCCTTGGAATAGTCAGCTAAGTTTTCTCTAGTGCTTATTGAATCAAGATAGTATTCTGGAACTAGTTATGTACTGAATAGTCACATTAAGAT